CTAGAGAATCAATTATGATCACAAGTCTCCAAAGAAGGTAGGAATAGTATTAAATATAAAAGTTGTATATTCCCCATATGCTAGCATAACTGTGGCGCTTGATGCCTCCATGGTGTTTGAATTATGTAAGAAATTCAGACTAAGAGCAATATTATTTATTGGAAACAAGTGATCAGTAATTATGAATTCAATTTCTATTTGTGGAAAAATATTTCAATTTTAAAAGCTATGAAATTCAAACATTTTAACGCTACAACCAACCAGCAAAACCTTAATGTTAGACTTTAAAATCAAGTCCTTGCTGCTGTAAGTCATTGCACATTAACAGAAACAGCATGCTTGCACTCATATGCCTTTGATGATAAAGGAAGCAATTTAGAAAAACCCACATAAGTTTTCATCTGATCTTGGAAAGCGTTGCACAGTATTTTTACAAAGATACATTCAAATATATAGTATTTCCTGTACTGAGAGATTTCTTTAAGTAGGATTTAATGCTGACAGAAAACCATAATAAAGGCCAGTTTTGAGATAAGAAACCCTCAAGGGCTGGAGATATAATAATTCCTTTCTTGCTGATGGTATTTGTCAAACTGGCAGGTCTTTTCAATAGAGTACAAGAAAAAAAGAAGAGGAGGGAAGCACATTACAAATAGCCTTGCCTCTTATCTCCTCCTAGCTTTCTCAATAACTACTGATCACTGAAGGGAACACTGTGCAAGAATTATAATTTTGTTCAGCCTTAAATTCCTGATCTGAGTTTCTCTGTACAGACTGATTAATACAAAATAGTGTCAAGAATACAAATAGTTAACCAACTGATTTGTGATGGGGTTTGGTAGAGAGGCAAAGAGAATTTCTCCCTGACCATCACCTTCAAACTTCTTCAGAACATTTTAGAGTACTCAAATCTCCAGACTTACTGTAAAGTTCCAAGAAGAAAGGAGCAAACAGCAAACTCAGCATGATTTTCAACCTTGTTTATCAATATTACATCCTTCTGTGAATTATACTTATCATATTAAGTCTAATAAAGATGCTAAGCTCTATGGATCAAGGAATAAAATACTTCCCTCTGTAATACATCATGCACTCTTAAGGTATTATACAGATAGTAAGTGGAAGATATGGTATTGGTTGTATTTATCATTGTTATGTACTATATAGCATGAATTATATACTGCTTTTAATAGAAACAGATACTAAGAAGATGAAAGACACTATTCATTCCAAACTGATTAGCAGAATTTTTGCCACTGAAAAGTATAAGGAGGAATACAGGTGCTTTTCTTTCTATTAGTAAAGGTTTCTGCTTCAAGAATAAGTTGTACCACATTTTATTGTTATAAGAAAAAAACCTCATACTCCCCCTAGTGTAGATGAAATTGTTACCAGACGACGCAGAAGTGGCTCTCAGAGTGAATTTGCCAGCCACACAAATTACGCCGCAGATTTGTGGTGATCCAGCTGATGGTGGCAGAGAAAAACCCCAGGTGAACTCAGCATGGGGCAGCAAGCTCCAGGGTCCACACTCCAACAGGGCAGGCCTTGACACCCTGTATTTTCTCCAGTCACCTGTACCCTTCTCATCTACAACCTACCAGCAACATTGCATTACTGCTATTAGAGAGGATGACCAAGGCATTTTGTAGAAAACTTCTCAATGTGGCAACAGGAAGGAAAATGTCACAGAGCTTGAACTCAGCTGGGCATCTAAGCTGTCTACAGGGTACATATGAGACACAGAGAAAGAGAAACTGAGAATTCACTGGAGACCATTAAGGCTCCACTGCTGAGATCACTCAAAATACAACCAGTTACATCAGTACAAATGTACTGTAATAGCATGCAAAGTAGGGCAAGAGGAATATGTTATAGTATATATTATACTAGTAAATATATACAGACTAGTATGATGTATTCATACATTACTAGAATGTGTTCCAGAATGACTTTATGGAAAGTAACAACCTAA